CCAATGAATACTCATGTGGATGTGCCCCTGTCAGCTGAAGCTATACCCATAGGAACATGCATATGTCAATCTTACTGTTTTTTGACCATGGAACACATTGTCAGTTAATCAAGATTGTATATTGCATTCTTAACATATTTCTTAATAGACATATATTAGACTGACAAACTGAAGGTCTGAACAAAAGCATTTGTATTTTGTTTATAAAACTCAAGCTCAAAGAACACCAAGGTCCCCTCATTTCAACCCTGAGCTACAAATATTCATTGGTAACTCAAGTTTCTCATTTAAATTGAAAGTTTTGGATACTGTCTCTTTCCGAGTTTGAAGATTCCAAACTGTGGTATCAATTAATATTCAGAGCTGTTGTTTCGGTCTCAACTTTTAAGAAATATAAACCTGCAAAATATGAGCATGGTTTTAAAACCTGAACTGGTAGCTTCTACTTTGTCATGAACTGCAAGACACAAATTTTCTACAAGGATTAAAAATATTTCCTCAGTGAGACAGTGACCAGGTATAAGAAACCAAGTTTGCAGGGTGTTTGTTAAATTTATACACCACACAACTTCCAGAGATTCTAAGCACTTCGTAAAGTAAAAAAACACATACAAAAAAACAATAATATAACAAGATAGAGGAGCAAAAAGATGGCAACAACAAAAACATGTACAGGTAGTCCTGGTTTGAAGTTACAATGGCACTAAAAAAAGGTATTTATGACCATTTTTCACACATACGACCATTGCAGCATCCCCATGGTCACATGATCAAAATTCAGGCATTTGGCAACTGACTCATATTTACAACGGTTGCAATGTCCCGGAGGACATGTCATCACCTTTTGCAGCCTTTTGACAAGTAAAGTCAATGGGGAAACCAGATTCACTTAACAACTGTATTACTAACTTAACAGCTGCAGTGATTCACTTAACTGTGGCAAGAAATGTCATAAAATAGAGGAAAACTCACTTAACTGCCTTCCTTAGCAACATAAATTTTGGGTTCTGTTGTGGTTGTAAGTCAAGGCCTACCTGTACATGCTATCACACATTCTAGTCAAAAGCTTGGCAAGTTGGACTCAATATCGCTTTTTAAACATTCACACTTCCCAGCATCAACGTTGAGTTCTGTGCTTAAAAGGATGGAACGTGGATACATCCATTATTTACCTGCTGTTTCTTCTCTATCCTCATTCTTTCAATTACTTGCTTATTACTCTGATCTTGTAGATCTGCCAGAGCCTTTTGCTTCATTTTTCTTTTCTCATCAAGGGCAAGTTTTGAAAGAAGGATTTCAGTCTTTCGCTTTTCAATTTTTTCAAGCTTTTCCTGGGCAAATAAGAATCTATTATTGCAGTTTCAGGATTTCCAATCAAATAGGACTAGCAGGGCTTGGAACAAAAAAAAAAGCACGGCCTCTTCTAGTCGACATAGTATGCATAGATGGCTCAATTATCATTGCTAAACATCAAAAGAGTTTATAAAAATTACCTTCCATTTTTCTAGTTCTTCCAGTAGTTCAGTCTCACTTGTAGATGTTTTTGAAATTTCACCTTCCAACATAGTCTACAAAACCAAAATGAAAGGAAGTTTCTTTCCATTTTGCACCTAAAGCTGTTTTTTTTTACATTTCCAAGACTTTCATTTTTTTCTCAGATATGAAATTGAAATAAATTATGAATTGTTGGAATAATTTTCAAATTTTAGCCAACCACTTTCAAAGTTTCATTAATCAATATTTTATTAGAACATTTCACTTAAGCAAATGAGTATTTTAAAATAAATATGAGAGAACAAGACTAGAAGTAACCAGGATTATTTCAGTTACAGGATGATAGTGAACTGTTAAACAAAAGCAGTTAACAGCACTTAGCCTTAGGCTCCATAGTGCTTTACAGCGCACTCTGAGCAATTTACAATGTAAACATATTGCCCCCCCAACAATCTGGGTCCTCATTTTACCAATCTGTTAAACACCCGTTTTAATGTTTTGCTCTCTTCCTCTGTGCTGTACTATGTATCGTATTAGTAAGCAAATTTATATAGCTGCCCATCTCATAAATGTGACTCTGGGTGGCATACAACAAAACAGTTAAAATAAATACCAACAAGTTCTATTAAAAATAATTAAACTTAAGTAGAAACTAAAACTGCAGAATGGGCCAACATTCTAAACACAATATAGGTAGCCCTTGACTTACAACCATTCATTTAGTGACTGTTTGAAATTACAACAGCACTAAAAAATTTTTTTTTACAAACTTGAGACTGTTGCAGCATCACATGATCAAAATTCAGATACTTGGCAACTGGTTCATATTTATAACAGTTGCCGTTGTCTCAGGGTCACATGATCACCTTTTGCAACCTTCTGACGAGCAAAGTCAATGGGGAAGCGAGATTCACTTAATAACTGCAGTGATTCACTTAACAACTGTGGCAAGAAAGGTCATAAACCGAGTTAAAACTTACTTAACTATCTTGCTTAGCAATAGAAAATTTGGGCTCAACTGTAGTTGTAAGTCGAGGACTACCTCTATAACCATCTTGCAGGCTCCCAGTTCCCATGGGATCCCTAAGGTTGCTGGAAAAAAACATGTTTAGTTTTCCAGAAGGCTGGTGGATGGATGCACCTGGGGGAGGGGGGGAGGCAGAATGATTTTCCAGAGGGTGAATACCATGGCAAAATCCCGTCATCTCCTGGGAGTCCAGTCAGATATAACTCTTCAACAATACACACACATTTTCATTCTTCCTCATATCAATCACTTTATGAACAACAAAAGGCAAAGATTTCCATTACACAAAGCTTGTTTTATCATTTGTTGAACGGTTGGCTAAGTTCACACAGCATACAAAGCTTATAAGCAAGCTCTCTCTAATTGATGGAACGACCTACCCTACCACTATTTCTAGCCAACATGACAACAGAAAGTTGTCATCCCATCACACATCACTGGGAAATACTGACTATTAAGCAGTACCATTGATCCAATCCTTCTGGCTGAGTGTTTATTATTATTATTTTTGTATGTGTTGCCCCTAAAATCCAGTCAGGTGATGTGGATTTTCCTCACTTGTGCCTAGCCATGACACAAACACTTTTACTATTGTGTTTGCCTGCTATTCCTTTCACCTCATTCCCAGTCTCTGAACAAAGCAGGCTTAAGTCTCCCTAGTTTTTACCTGTAATCTTTTCCCTCTGATGCCAACTCTGGTAGAATTTGGTAGGCTCTGTGACTGATTACTTGGGAAGGAAGGCAGAGGATTGGAATAACTGACCAAATAAGGATTGACAATGAGGGAGACAGCAACATTTGTGCTGGGTAGTTTAAATAGTTAAATGGGCAGAGAAAAGAAGTCCCCAGAGTTTAAATCAACGGATATCTCTCTACTTGCAAACTCCACATCATATAAAAGTTTCCTCGGGTAAAACTCAACTCCAACTTTTGATCCAGTATGGAAATCTCTGCCAAATTTTTCTTTCAGGGATTTTTTCTGATTTCCAAGCTCCGGCAAAATAAATAAATAAATAAATCAGAAATGTCAGATGACATTTGTCAGGCTGTGGAATTCTGGGAGTTGAAGTCCACATGCCTTAAAATTGTCAAGGTTGAGAAACACTGCTCTAGAGGTCTTCAAACTTGGCCCTTTTATGACTTGTGGACTTCAACTCCCAGAATTCCTCAGCTAGGCACGCTGGCTGAGGAATTCTGGGAGTTGAAGTCCACAAGTCATAAAAGGGCCAAGTTTGAAGACCCCTGCCCTAATACTATTAACCGGGCCGAGGTTGCTTCGTTTTCGAAATCAGCGAAGTTGTACTGAGTGCTGGAACAAAATTTAAACACCGGAGGGAAGTTAGCAGAGGGGCGCTTAATAACAGTTACACCAGCACGAAGCGTGGATTTACTCTTGCTCCCCTGTTAAGTTGCGTTTTTTAAATAATTTAGGCTAGTTAAGTTACGTGCGTGCCAACCAGACCGATTAAAAGCCCATAGGACGATCTCAAATGAAGGCTTTTGACCGGATCGTTTGCTTCTGTAGTAAAAAAAAAAAAAAATAGCTCACCGCCGTCCTCCACGGAGAAGCTTTACTTTCGCTTTCAAACTCTGCCAGCAGACTCTATTTGCAGGAGGGAATTGCACACCGTCGCTAGCCAGGCGCTTCCCCACTCCACTCTGCCCGCTTTCCAGCGGGACTGACTTACGAGGGTCTTTCCGACGACAGGACAAGCCAAAGGGACTGCAAGATACCGGGAGAAACTCTCGCTAAAAAAAAAAAAAGCCCCCCTTTCCAAGAGCAAGAAACGAAAGTCGGAGCCTTGTTTGACTGCAGATCACGTGGAAGGAAGGAAGGAAGGCGGGTGGGAACGAGCGGCTATTGCCGGCAGCTGGAAAGTACGGCCTCTCCCCTTGAGGCCAAAGAGGGAAGGCCATCCGCCCTCTGCCCATGACAAAAGAGCATCTTGAGAGCCGCGATGCTTCTCACGTTGGAAGTGTTTACACGCGGCGGCGGCGGTGGCGCCCAGCCTCGTTCTCAAGACTGCGATCGCCTTTCGAACCACCCGAAGCTGAAATAGGATTAGTTAGCTCTACGTATAGTCTGTGTAACTGATGAAGCTTCTTGAATGAGAAGCGAAACGTTTCCTCAGGGAAACAAGCAGCCCCGTTGCCTTTTGAAAGGAGGGGGGACACACCTTTGAGACAGCTACGACTTGGATGAGTGAGAATCTCCACAATCGGTCTGTGGCTTAGAGTGCTGTATGAATCTGACCCAGATTATTGGGGGGCAGTAGGCTGACTCTGTAAACCGCTTAGAGAGGGGCTGTAAAGCACTGTGAAGAGGTATATAAGTCTATGTGCTATTGCCATTGTTATGAATCCAATTCGGGTTTAGTCAAACCTGACTGATTAAGCAAAACGATGGCTAGTGAGAGAAAGGAATCCGGTCAGCATTTTTAATAACATGCTGCCGTTAGTCAGCAGGCAAGCAGACAAAAACCAGAGTGCTTTCTAATTCTAACCTTTTTCCTAGCGGACAGTACTGAATAAGCTTCCCAATTTGATGGCAGCTGAGTGGGATGGACGTCGGCTTCCAAAATTGCCAGCAAGATGAAGCCAAGCAGAGTCAGGAAAGCTGCCTCAAAAATAGATTTGGTTCCCAGGGCATGTCAGAACTGGTTCCCCCATGTCTTCTCTTAAAAAGTGAAGGTATATGGAGCCCTGGTTCGCAAATCACATTTGTTTTGTGATACCTCCCCCCCCCATAAGATTTTATTGGTGTTAAGAGTTTGGCAAGAAATAAAACACTTTTGTAAGAATTAGATTTTAATCTGTATGTCACCCGGATTTAAACTTTGCTTATCCTGGAGAAAAATACCTAGGATGTTGCTAAAAGTCATCTAGACCAGTGATGGCGAACCTTTTAGAGACCGAGTGCCCAAACTGCAACCCAAAACCCACTTTGGCATGGTCAGGTGCCGGGTGGGTGTGGCTGCAGTGGTAATAGCAGACTGGGTGGGACTAAAAAGTTCAATCAATCAATTTCAACTTTGCAAGACCTTTTTTTTTCCCCGCAAGAAGTTGAAATTGACTGATTGAACCTTTTTTTTTGTACACAGCAGCGGAGGCCTAAAGCGAAAAGGTTTTATAAAACCCAGCTGAAGGCCTAGGACTGGGGCGACGGCACGCGTGCCCACAGAGAGGGCTCTGAGTGCCGCCTCTGGCACCCGTGCCACAGGTTCGCCACCACTGATCTAGATGGTACATCAGATCAAACTGCAAGACAGCAGCTTTTGAGATTAAGGAGAAAAAATAAAGAGCAAAAAAGTTTTGATTGCTCCTACTTTGGGCTGCATAAGCTTAACCAGGTTAAAAATTGTTGATCCACCCCTAACCACGGTTTGAAAATCAGGGATGCAGTAACAGGGCCTAAGAGAGTAATAATGAGTAGACAATGCAGAACAACTGCCTTGCTTGTACACTGTACTAAGCTGTACAGTGACTTCTTTAACAGTGATTTATTAAAAATCGCTGTTGGAGTCTCAGAATATGCAAAGATATAAACTGCTGTTTACAAACCACACAGTGATTCAGTTCGTATGATGTGCTAAGCCTGCCACAACATAGTTTTAAATTTAGTATGGATGAACCTAGCCACAGTACCATATAAACTGTTGCACTAAATGCTATGGGCTCACATATTTGAGGGACTCAGAGCTGCCTCCTTTGTGTATCTTGGGTGTATCTTAGTGCTCTATGTGACTATCCATGAATGCATTTCTTTTCCCCTAAAAAAAGAAGAGGCAAGAGATCATGTCAAATGATTCAGGCATTCTTCAGCATGACATAGCTGCATTGAAGGTGATTTTATCTATGAATTTGGAAAGTGGCACATGTTTGCTTTTCTATCCAGATTGTCAACTGCCAATAGTGACAATGTGCTTGTGCCTTTTTTATTCATCTTGTTTCTCAGCATTTATTTTCCAGCAGGAATGTCATTGTCATTACACCCTAACAGTTCTTTAACTTTTAAAGTTTTATTAGTTTATAATATATAATACAATGGAAATACAAAAGCAAATAGTGGAAAAGATGGGGAAGGGAAAGAGGAGTAGAGAAGTGACGTAAGGGAGAGAAAAAAG